AAAAAATAAAAAAAAAAAAAAAAAAAAAAAAAAAAAAAAAAAAAAAAAAAAAAAATAAGATTGAATTAAAATTAAAGTTATGATTTGGTAATACCAAAATTGAGAAAGTGAGTTGGTGGAGCCAAGTGAAGGGACAGTAATGGGACAGTGAAGGGACCATGAAATCACTAAAAACAAGTTAATAATTATTACTACTATTAATTAGTTTTAATTCTTCAATTGAAATAACAAAACTCTAATCTTACTTACTCAACTTATTGCTCACTTACTACACTCTAGACCATAGTATTAGTTGGTTATGGATCATTGAGTGTTGAGAAAGGTTTGAATTGGAATAATCAATGATTCATGATTACGAATAGTTTGGATTATGCCTTATGAAAGGAAAGTTGAAATATTGGCATTGATTGGCTGGAACAGATAGCTTTTTAAGGGGGGAACACAAGTCGACTACTAAAAAATTCACCAAAAAAAACAAACTATTTAAGTTACAGGTGTCAAATTTTCACTGAAGTTAGAGGAATGGTCAATCTACAATAATAACACATAAAATAACTATTAGTACTTGAACATAATAGTTTGCTAACATTGAAAAAAAAAAAAGAAAAATGGGATGCTGAAAACAGGCATGTCAGACAAAAAAAATTAATTAGAATGTTTTAAGCTCAAATTTATAACAATTTTTTAACCATACAGAAATATGGATTAGCTTTGGCGACAAATAAGAAAAATGTGATTTATTGAATACTTTTTGTATCACAGCATACCAAAATATCTTAATTTTGATATTTTAAAATCAAACTTTGATGGATTGTAAAATGTGTACTATTAATATATTACAATATCCTTAGTTGCTGACATAGATAAGTATATAATATAGCATCTTGCAAAATTTCAAACAAATTGGTTGATATTTTAAAAAGTTATCATTTTTTATATGAATTAAATGTCGAAATTTTGTGAATAAACGCGCAATAATTTTGTTCATTAAGTAAATAAATTTTATAATTTTAATGACCCCCCCCCCCCCAAAAGATAAGGATGTAATTTAGCTTCAACTTTTGACTCTTCTAACCAAAATTTAAGCCTTCTTCTGGTTCTTCTATCTTCTAAGGATTTATTCATTTGTTTGTGTGCCTTCGATATCCGCTTAGCACCCATTATAATGAAATAATTGAAAGTAAACTTTCCAAAGGAAAGCTGCAAAATCTTAGAGGAGCCTCCAATACTTTGGATCCATCATTGAAAAGAAGGGTTGCTAAGTCAACACCAATGAGGACAGCTCTAAATCCATGATATTTGTTCTTAGGGCACATTTTCAATATAATATTATTCATCGATTCGTTCGCATTTTGGGTATAATATCTAAAAATTTACTAAAAAATAATTGGATGGTAAAGGTCTAAAAAAATTGGCCTAATTAAATTAATTTCTGCTGATTCCCTGTTATTATAAACTTTAAAAATTACTGAAATGATTACAGATGTCTTAATTTTCCCTTTAATCTAAATGAGAACCATTTACTCCATACATGTCTATCATCAATTTAATTCCTGACTTGTTCTGGGTGGGCGAGGCATTTGGTGTTATCAAGACCACTAAATTTTATTTCTAGTCAAAGTTTGACAGTCAAAGTCAAGGAGTAATAGT